ATAGATAGTGGTAAGTCTTTAGTCTTGTGTATTGACTAGAAAAAATGAATAAATTATAGAGATCATATCTTAAAAGATATTGGAGGGCACTGAAAACAAAAAGGACTAAATGAACTAACATTCCAAAGAGGGAAGGGCCCTTCCCAGGGGAGCTAAGATTACTGTTTTCTTCCTTATGGAGATCTGCTGAGGCTGAGCATGGGTTGTGGATCAGGTTTTCTATAGGCAAAGGGACTATACTCTGGGGAAAAAACCAGCAGAGTTTAAGACTACCGTACGGCCTGATAGGCTGGTTTAAAACCTAGCGAAACCCCAAATGTACAGACAGTTTGCCTGGTGGGAAATTTGCTGAATGCTGAGTTGGGGGGTATAAGAAGCTAGGTACTGGACTGGAAAGGCAGAATGAAATATTTTGCAGTCTCACAGTGCTTAAAAAAAATTCTCTTTGGAGGAAATGTTCCCCAATAAACACAAGACAGATCTCATCTTTGAGACATGAAAACAGGGATGAAATGAGTGTAAGTAAAGCTACTATCCAGTTCATTGGAAACTTAATTCCTGAATGGATTGAGGTGATCAACTCCACATCTCATCTGCAAAACAGAGGACAAGGTGAACCATTTCTGGGGGAAAAATCTGTAACTTCAAAGGCTACTAAAAATCAATAATCTAAGTTTCCATTTAAGGAAGAAAAAGCAAATTAAATCCAATGAAAGAAGGAGGAAGGAAATGAAAAGAGCAGAATTTAATGAAAGAGGAGCACCACAAAAGAAAATTCACAAAATTTGTTTTTTATTCATAAAGATAGTAAAATTGATAAATCCCAGACAAAGAGTAATAAGAAAAAAAAAGAAAAAACAAAAATTATCAAAATCAGCAGTGAAAAATAACTGTGGGATATCACCACAGTTAATAAATTTGAAAACTTAAATAAAATAGTTAAAGTCCTGGAAAAGCAATAGTTTAGCAAAGCTGATATAAGAAGAAATAGAAAATCTGTATGGTCCTCTGGCTAATAAAATAATTGAACTTGTAATTAAAAATCTTCTCACAATGAAAACTTTAGGCTCTAATGGTTTCACTGGTGAAGTTTTTCAAACTTTTAAGAAAGAAAGAATACCAATCTACACAAACTGTTCCAGAAAATAGAAATGAGAAAAACTCAGCTCATTTTATGAGGCCAGACAATCTTGATGTAAAAACTTGACAGAGACATTACAAGAAAGCAAAATTATAAGTTAACATCTCCCATAAACACAGAATATTTTTAATATAAAAATATTAGACAAAATATTATCAAATAAAATCCAATGATATATAGAAAAAGATACTACATCATTGCCAAGTGGGGTTTATTTGAGGAATATAACGGTGTAACATTCAAAAGTCAATCAATGTAGGGGGCTGGCCCCGTGGCTGAGTGGTTAAGTTCGCGCGCTCTGCTGCAGGTGGCCCAGTGTTTCGTTGGTTCGAATCCTGGGCACGGACATGGCACTGCTCATCAAACCACGCTGAGGCAGCGTCCCACATGCCACAACTAGAAGGACTCACAACAAGGAATATACAACTATGTACCGGGGGGCTTTGGGGAGAAAAAGGAAAAAAATAAAATCTTTAAAAAAAAAAAAAGTCAATCAATGTAATTCCTCATATTAATTAAAGAGTAAAACTATATGGTCATCTCAATAGATGCAAAAAAATTTGACAACATATTTATAATATACTTTTCAGGAAACTAAGAGAAGAAGTGAAGTTCTTTAATCTGATAAAAGTTAAAAAAATAAACACTTATGGTTAACATCACTCTCTATGGTAAGAGTGTTTTCCCTTTGAAATTAAGAATTAAGCAAGGCTGTTCATTGTCATCACTTTTATACTTTACATAATAAAAAACAGTATGAAGACTTTTCCCCTGAATTTCAGAATAAGACAAGGATGTCCAATATCACAGCTTTAATTCAACATTATATGAGCGATCCTAGCCAGAGCAATAAGTCAAGAAAAAGCTTAAATACAAGATATAGACATTGGAAAATAAAAAGTAGAATTTGTCTTTATTCATGTATATTATATACTTTGAAAGTCTGAAATAACATACAAACTATTAAAATTAATAAATGAATTTAGTAATGATACAAGGATACAGGATACAAGGATAATATATTAAAATCAATTTTACTTTGATGTTGGATATAATTCAATATAAAAATTAATTTTATTTGTGTATACTCGCACTAAATAATTGGAAAATGAAGTTAAAGTACCATTTACAACAGAATCAAGAGCATCAAATACGTTAGCACCACACTAACAAAATATGTGCAAGATACCTCCACTGTAATCTATAAAATAATACCGAGAGAAATGAAAGGAGATCTAAACAAATGGAGAGATGTACAATGTAAAAGGAGTGGAAGACAATATTGTTAAGATGTCATTTCTCACCAAATTCATATAAACTTAAGGCAATTCTAATCAAAACCCCATGAGGATTTGCGTGTACATGTGCATATATGTGTAAATCAATAAGTTGATTCTAACTTTCATGTGGAAAAGCTAAGGACCTAAGGAGCCAAGACAATTTGGAGAAAGAATAATAAAATTGAAGGGCACACATTACCATATTTCAAGACTTCCAATAAAGGTAAACTAATTAAGACAGTGTAGGGTCAGCACAAAGATATGTACATAGACCAATGAAATAGAATGGAGAGTCTAGAAATAGACCCACAGATAGATGGTCACTTGATTTACAACAAAGGTTCTGTTGCAAGCCAGTGCATAAAGAATGGTCCTTTCCATTATGGTTCTGGAGCATCTGGATATCTATGGGAAAAAAGGTAAACTTTGAACCAACTGCATTCTACACACGAATAGAAGATAGACCCAAATATGAAGGGTAAAACAAAAAGGCTTCTAGAAGCAAATATTGGACAATAGGTGCCTGACCCTGAGGTAGATGCAGATTTCTTAAACAAGACCTCAATATATATATCCGACAAAGGACTCACATCTAAATAGACAGAGTGCCCATAGACCAATAAGTAAAAGACAAAGAACTCAAGGAATTGGTCATACACTTGAAATGGCACTTCACAAAATGATATTCAAATGGCCAATAAGCCAAATGGTCAACATCATTAGTCAACAAGGAATGCAAAGTAAAACTACATTGGAATACCACTACATACCCATGAGAATAGGTAAAATTAAAAGCTCTGACAATGCCAAGTTATGGCAAAGAAGTAGAGCATCTGGGATCCTCAAATACTGCAGGGGGGACTGTAAGTTGGCACAACTACTTTGGAAAGCCGTTTGGTAGCATCTACTAACACAAAACATATACTTACCCTATGACCTAGCAATTCTACTCCTAGTTACATACCCAAAAGAAAAGAACACATATGTCTATCAAATGTCCACAGTGGCTTTATCCATAATAGCTAAAAACTGGAAGTGACCCAAATGTCCACCCCCAGGAGAAGAGAATAAAGAAGCTATGTTACATTTAGGCAAGGGAGTACTACGCAGCAATAAAAAAGAATGACCTACTAATATGTGTAACAATATGGGTGAATCGCACACATCATTTTCAGTAAAAGAAGCCATACACTAACAAACACACACTATACTGTATGATTCCATTCATATGTCGTTCAAGAACAGGCAATACTAATTGATGTGGAAAGAGGTGAGAGTGGTGGTTACATCTGGAGGATGAGCGGTTATCGCCTGAGATGGGGCATAAAGAAGCCTCTGGATGCCAGAACTGTTCTCTATCTTAGTCTCCATGGTGGCTGCACTGATACATATTGAGCAGACACCATATGCTATGTGCCCTTGCACATGGCCAATGAGAAAGGCATTTTTTCTTTTTTTTGCAGCTTACATTTGAGTGAGGCAGGCAGATACTAGGCAACTAACTTTAGTGACCTATGTTGGGTGCTGTGGTAAAGGAAGGAGTGGTGGCTCTAGGCACACGGAGCAGGCAGAACTCATTCATTCCAGGGATGAAGAGAGACTTCCGTGAGGAAGAGATGGCTCAACCGAGAACCATTAGGCATTAGGTGTGGGTAAGAGGATTGGGAAGAAAAGAACATTCCAGGCAGGTGGAACAGGATGTGCAAAGGCCTGGAGGTGAGCGAGTGAGAAGGAATTAAACATTTGGTATGGCTGGCATACAGGAAAGAATGAGGATGAAGAAGTGAGGCTGTGGGGTCAGCAGGGGCCTGTTCTTTGGTGACTAAATGAGATGTGTTCAAAGAGTTTTGGCTTTTCTAAGGATGTTGGGAAGCCAAAGCATGGTTTTAGGTAGGAAAGAGCCAAGATCACATTTACATTCTAAGAAACGAGGCCAGGAGGCTTAGCAGTTGAAGCTCTTGAGGTGGCCCAAGTGAGAGATGATGGGGGTCTGAAGTAGGGAAGGGACAGAGGAGCTGGCCATCAGTGCAGGATTGCAGAGATGGTGAGGAGGTGGAACTGAAGACCTTATGATGGTGGGGTGTGCTGGGTGGGGAAGAGGAAACAGACTTTCAGGACTTGATTCCTTTTAGCCCTATTAAGAAAGGAATGTAGTTCCAGACCCTAGACGACGCCAGCGCCTGGTGAGTTGTGCTGTTCGATGTCTCCTCTGAATTTCCAGTGTCCCTTCGTTGCTTCACACTGCCTCCTGGGAGGAGCCTTTCCTTGCAGGGTGAGCCTTGGGAGTTGAATTTGCTCAGCTCTTTCGTGGGTGGAGTCGAGGGTTGGAAGGAGGGAGACAGGTGCACGTGGAGGGCTTCCTGTAACGCATCACACCCTCCAAGTCTTCCTCCCTCCTCCCGCTCACCAAGTAGGTTCTTTTCAGTCCCCTGACGTTCCCTGATGAGGTAACGAGGACAGAGCGATTTAATTGCATCCGTGGTCTAAGATACTTTTGGGATGGCACTATCAGAGGATTCCCCTTCCCAGGAATTTGAGTCCTCTCTGACCTATCCTAGTTGGGAGTTGGTGAAAAGCGAACACAGCGCCCCCTCGCCCCAGGCGGGGTGGAGAGAGCAAAGCGAGATGAAGACCATAATCACCTGGGTACAAAACTCGAAACTCGAGGAATAAGAAGTTTAATATCTATCGGTCTGCAAATCCGGAGGGCCTGGGGCCCCACTGGGTCCCCTTTCCACTGAGCTATTCCAAACCTTGAATCAGAAGGGGATTTAGAAGCTAACAGCTGCCGGCCGCGAATACCTTTAATGCCCAGGCCGAGAAGAAAGCGGGTTAGGATCTGATCCTGCTGAACAGAGGACCCAGGAGCCTCGCGCCCGCGGCGCTCGGTGTGGCGGGGGCGCGCTGCGCGCTGCGCCTGGGCAGGCGGCTGCGGCGGCGTGGGCGCGGTGATGCAGGTGTGACACCCGCGGACTCCTGCCTCGGCCCGGATCGCCCCAGCGCCGCGTGAGCTCGAGCTGCTGGCGGGGCCGCCAGGGCGGACGCTGCCCCGCCGCACCCGGAGGCGGCCGCCCGCGGACTTCCCACCCAGGTAGGGGACGGCGTTGCTTGCTCCGGTGCGTGCAGACCCGGCCGGGGCACGGACCCCGCGCGCTCCTGGGGGCTCCCAAGCTCGCCCGCCGGGGCTGAAACGTACACGCCGGAGCCTCTGAATGTTGTTTATAGTAAATTGCACAAAAGGCAGGGAAGGCGCTTGGAAAGCGGGCGCCGAAAAGCAAGGACTTGCCCGCTGCCCCGGGGCTGCGCGCTTCTTTCAAGGTGGCATCCCCAAGGGCTGTTTTTAAACCCTATTTGAACTGTTAGCGCCATACATAGTTTTGCAACTTAGGCTGCTGACATTTATAACTGTTTCCGTAAGCTTCCTAGCCACCGCTTTTAGTTTCAATTCGATTCCTACTAGATGGATTCTGTTGTTGTTGGTTTGTTTTGAAAGAACAGGTTAAAAACATGCCTACACCTGGTGGCTCTGGGTTGGGGTTTGTGAGTGTGTATTTCTGTATGTGGAGGGCGCCCTCCGCGGGCGTGGGAGCCGTTTCTTAGGGACACAGAGAGGATTTGTTTATAGATGGATTTTAGCGCAAGGAAAAGAACATGATTTGTTCTGCAGGGTTGGGCGAGCAAATGCGTTCAGCCAGGGAGGAGCGAGGCACTGCCGTTTCTTCCGCAGACGGGTGTTAGAGATCTCTGCTGTCCAGGGTTCAGCCGGGCTGCTGAAACACGATCCTTTATCCAGAAGTCACAGATGCAAACTAGCTCCGTTTAAAGGTAACTTGAAGTCAGCTTCTTGAGCTCTGATAAGAGCAGCTCAGGTCGGGAGGGGTGGGGTGGGCTCTAAGAGGTGCCTGCTCGTTTTTTAAAAAAGCCTGTTTGAGAGGTAAATGTGGGTGGTTTGAGGCTCAGGGAATGGCAGGTGAGGGATGACAGGTGTGTGCGAGGGAGAATTGGGCACTGTAGCCAGCTCAGTGGTCATTCTGGTCTCTTCTATGTTTTTGCTTCCTGCCCTTTCCAGAAGAGGTGACTTGTCCTGCTTGCTCCAGTCGATGCAGTAGATACAGTACAGGCTCATTCTGCATCTTTCTTGAGTCAGCAAAGACTCATCCAGCACCTAGTGTGTGCCAGAGGCCAGATTAATCCTTGGGGATGCAGAGATGATGAAAACAAAAGTGCGGGCTCCCCAGAAGCTCACACCTGGTGGGAGAGAAGCACCTGTAATAATGAAGTGTGCTAAGTTCAGTAATGCAGGTGTGAAAACAGAGCGGCGGGAGCAGAGAGGAGGGAGGAATTAATTATGACAGTGATTATTTTTAGTATGAAACCCTCACAGATGAGGAATTACATAGATTTAAATAGGGACTGGGTTCTTCCCTTGGTCCTTGGTCTGTGAGTGACCCACATCGCTCTCCCACCCCATCAACATCACGGCCACTGGATGGGCAGAGCTTTTCAAGTCACAACAGGGCTGGTGTTTGCCGGACGTGACCAGACCCCAGTAGACGCAGACACAGGCTGACACCAAAGGAGGAGTGTGCCCAAGGCAGGCCAGGCTTTTTATTTATTTATTTATTTTAATGGATTGTTTTCCTACATTCCAGGACCAGGAAGGTTTTGAAGCAGTGCTTCACAAAATCAGGGATTCTGGAAGATTCTGAGGGATTTTCTGAGCAGAACTTCTGCTTTTTTCCCCGTTGGGTGCCTGACCTGTCTGTGCTTGTCCCAGCCCAGTTCAAAAGAAAAGCTCTGACCTTGATTATATCTAAATGGGTGGAATAAAGGAAAATTAAAACCCTTACCACCAGTCCTCTCTGGGAGATGAAAATCCAGTCTCATGGATGTTTCTTCCTGGACAAAAGCTAAAAAATGATAAAATGAAGAGCTCTTGTGTTATGTATGTTTGCCAGAGATGCATATCACATGTATTTTGTAACCTAAACCATCATTGAGGTATTTGAAAAGCAGGCTGGCGCATTGCAAGGAGCACGGGCTTTGATGCTCAGACACAGGCAAGTGTTTTGGGCTAGTTACTTTGCCTCTCTTTGAGTTTTGGTTTCCTGATCTGTAAAATGGAATTAACAATAGAGTTGTTATAATAATGACATAGTAGGTGCTTAAAAATATCTGTTCATTGTGAAATGATTGTCATGTATAAATTGCTTGGCACAAAGCAGGCACTCAAGAAATGGCACTTCATTCCCTGAGTACTTACTATGTGTCACGTACTGCTCTATGTGTGCAGAATTGAAGTAAATAAAGCCCCTCAAGGAGCTTAACTTGTGTATGTATATGTGTGTGTTTAAGATAATGGACAAATAAATAACTAGATAGTGTATCAGCCTATGACGCATTATAGGGGAGAGCAATAAAGCAGGGTAAGTGGAATGGGGAGTGCTGCCAGAAGGTAGCGTAAGCATGGTTATTTTTTTATACGGCTTGGTCAGGGAAGGCTTTGCTGAGAAGTGACATTTGACCAGACCCCTGGGGAAGTGAGGGAGCAAGCCAGGCAGATGTCTGAGCAAGAGCTTTGTGGGCAGCGCTACAGCACCTGCAAAACCCTGATGCGGGAGAGAAGCATGTTCATGAGAAAATTGGAAAGGAGGCCAGGGAGGCTGAGGTTGAGTGAGTGAGGGGAACAGCAATAGGACTTGAGGTCAGAGGGGTAGCATAGCAAGGTCACTGGGGTAGTGCCTCTTGTAATTTCTATTTGTCGCTCAGATTTATGTCCTGAGCTCTGGTTTAAGGAATTGGCTGGAATTCTACACTCTACGTTTAGAAGGTTGGGTGGTAGACATAGGTTCCTGTGGTCACTCAGAGCGTAAATGAACGCAGCAAGCAGAGGCATAAATCTTTGCAAGGCGACGAGAGGCACAGGAATTAGGGAGCAAGTGGCAAACAGTGTCTGATGCGTTTCCTCCACATCAAGGACTGTATTTGTGCTTCTTTTGAACCTTAGTATTTTGTTAGTTTCCTTTCCCCCACCATGAAAGAAAGGGTCTCCTTTATTGAATAGTCTTGCAGGTATTCTCCTTGCTGGTTGTTTTTCTTTTTTCTTTGAGAGCAATAATAGTTTCTATGGTTATGGAAAGGTGTCGGAATCAAATGGAAATATACTGGCCTTTGGTGTACCATGGAATGCATTTACATAATATCATATGACGCATTTATTTGAGACTTCCTTCCATCTTGGAGGCTTCCTGTGAAAGTCGCAGTTTGCTGCCGTGTCCTTTTGAGGTTTGTTCCTCTCGAGAGCGTGTTTGGGGATTTGAGAGCTCCATCCCACGGCCGTCCTTGATGCAGTAGGTTTACTGCAGTGTGCTCCACCGACAGAAATGGGACTGGATGCCTGAGAATCTTGTCAAAGTTTCTCTGAAATAGGATATGGCGAGGCTGGGTCACGGTCAGGGTAGCTGCCCGGGTGTCCCCCAAGTTACTTCAGAAGGTGACATTTACCTCTGTGAATTTCCCCCATGGCTTTTAGTCTTGCTGCCTCAGAAACCTGATCTGTCTCTTGGGGCCACATCACAGTGACCTTGCTCACCTGCATGCCGGTCTGCTGATTTGCAGTGGCTGAGACATGGTGTGGTATGGTTAGTGTGTCTTCTTCCTGCAGATGCCCCTTTGTGAGAACTAAATCACAAGAAGTTTTCCCCGTGAGCACCTACCCAGAGCAAAGCAGCTGAGATGCCTACCCTTGGGACTCATCACACACATTGGGGCTGATCTTGCCGACAGGCCTGCAGAACAAACCTCCCCCAAACTTAGTGGCTTAAAATGGCAACCATTTGTTATTTTCTCACATGTCTGTGGGTTGGCTGGGCAGTTCTGCAGATCTGGGTTGAGCTTGGTTGATCTCAGCTGGGTTTGCTCATGTGGCTTTGGTCTGCTGATGGAGTGGCCGAAGGCTGGCTGCTTTAGGATGGCCTCAGCTGGGATGCCTTGGCTCTGTTCCATGTGGTCTCTCAGCCTCCAGTGGGCGATGCTGGCATGTTCACATAGTAGCGGCAGGAGTCCAAGAGAATGGAAACTCGCATGGCCTCTTGGGGCCTAAGCTTGTAACTGGCACACTGTGACTTCATCCTTGTTTATTGACAAAAGTAAGTCACAAGGCCAGCCCAGAGTGAAGAAGCAGGGGAAGATGGCATTTTTTGATGGGCATTGCTGCACAGTCACATTGCAAAGAGCATGGATACAGGGAGGGGAAGAACTGGGGATATTTTTGCAATCAATCTATCCTAGGGACCTTAATATTTAAAGTCCCCTTGGCTAAGGCTTCTTTTCTCCTAAACTTTGCTTGAATGAGCAATGTCTGCAACTTACCCTTTTTTCCTTTTTCTTTTTTTCTGTGTTTCCGTGTGTGACCAACTGTAGACCTATTTTTCTTTAGTCAGTCATTCATTCACCAGATATTTATTGAGTGCTGTCTATGTGCTAGGCATGTTATAGGCAGAGGAGACAGCAGTGAAAATAACGAGATCTATCCTCATGAAGCATTCATTCTAGTTGGGGGAGACATAATATGTAAGTAAACAAGTAAATGTGTAATATCAGGTGATGAAAGAACCTGAACCAGGGAAGGGAGGATGGAGTGCTTAGTTGAGTGGGGGTGGGGGGTAGGGAGGAGTAGGGGGTGGGCACTTTATATAAAGTCATCAAGGTGTCATGAAGGGAGTGAAAGAGTGAGCCAGATGGAGATCTGGGGAAAGACCCTTTCAGGCAGGGAAACAAGTGCAAAGGGCCTGAGGCAACAGAGTACTGGCATGTTCTAGAATAGCCAGGAGACTCAGGTAGAAGGATCTGAGAGAGGGGGAGCATGGTATAAGGTAAGATCAGAGAAATAGCAGGGAGCTAGGTGATACAGGGTCTTATAGGGCCTTGTGTGGACTTTGGCTTTCTCTCTGAGCGAGATGGGAGGCCATTGGAGAATTGTGAGCACAGGTTGCCATTATCTGATTTATGTTTTCAATGCTCACTTGAGCTTTAGACCTTAGAAGAGGTTCTGAGGGCTCAAGTGTGGAAACAAGGAGATCAGTCAGGAGGCCACTGTGATCCAGATGAGAGGTGATGGTGGTTTGGACCAGGGTATGGCGGTGATGGTGAGAAGTCCAATTCTGGATGTATTTGATGATGGAGCAGAGAGGACTTGCGGGTGGGTTTGATGGGTTCAATTTAGGGTATGAGAGAAAGACAGGGGTCAAGGATGACTCCACATATTTTGACCTGAGTAACTGGGAGGAGTTGCCCTTTACTGAGATGGAGAAGGAACAGTTATGGGGTTCAACTGGACATCCAATGGGAGATATTAAGTAGGCAGTTATATGTGTGAGTCTAAAGTTGAAGGAAGAGGTCCTAGAAGGAGATACACATTTGAGTATCATTAGCATGTTATCTGTTTTTCCCTTCAATAAGCCAGGTCACTGCTGTATCACCAGTGCCCAGAATATTGCCTAGCACATAGTATGTGCTCAATGAATATTTACTGAGTGAATGAATGGAACCCTTTTATCACTGGAGGTGACTGCAGATCTTTGCTTCAGTGGCTCTTGAAGGGTAACTCCTTGAGGTTATTTCCTTTCTTCCCAAGGTCTCCTGGGAGCCTTATTGTAGATCTTGTGGACTAAAAACAGACTTTAAATGTGAAGCCTCCAATTGCTTATACCTTACAGAAAGCAATGTGTGGTGACAAGTAAGAAAGAGAAACAAGTGGAGACCAAAAAATAGCTCGTACTTTCAAAAAAGGAGACGAGATTTTCCAGAGAGAAGTGGTTGAAATT